TAAATACAACTCACTATCAATATTCTTTTCAGTGGTAGATTAAGATTACTGAGTTGTATTTAATCAACTGATTACCATGAGTAGTTTTCAATACAACTCACTATCAATATTCTTATCAGTGGTAGATTAAGATTACTGAGTTGTATTTAATCAACTGATTACTAGTGATTACCCTAAGAATTTTTTAATACAACTCACTATCAATATTCTTATCAGTGGTAGATTAAGATTACTGAGTTGTATTTAATCAACTGATTACCATGAGTAGTTTTCAATACAACTCACTATCAATATTCTTATCATTGGTAGATTAAAATTACTGAGTTGTAGTTATTCAACTGATTGCCCTAAGTATTTTTCAATACAACTCACTATCAATATTCTTATCGGTGGTAGATTAAGATTACTGAGTTGTATTTAATCAACTGATTACCATGAGTAGTTTTCAATACAAATCTACCACCACTACCAAGAATATTGATAGTGAGTTGTATTAAAAACTACTCAGGATAACTGATATTTTCAATTCAACTGAAATGAAATGATGGAGTGTTACATCCTACTTTTCGTTATCATGTGGGCTAATGAAGACGGTCAATTCAATTTATGGGAGTCAAAACATGTTTTGACATCATGAGATGAGCTCTAGTCAATTTGATTGGGGGAAAGTAAATAAAAGCACTGTAAGGTATTTTGGTGGGAAAGTGTTATAATAATATATACCTACCAAATCATATCTCTCAGTGAATGATTCTTGACTTCCTTGAAATTCTTCAACTGATGTTAATAATTCCTCTTTAAACAATGGTTGTACTCGTACTAGTTCACCTTGGACTTGGCCCTTTAATAAATATTTACCTGATTTTGTACAACTTTTAAATTTAGAATTCTGTGATATCAAAAAATCTTGTGTACAGTATGTTTTCTAGTAATATAATGCAATAATATTGACCAATCAAAAAGTAATAACTAAAGGTTTTGATGTTTCTTAGGACATATCATTATTAAGTGTATACTTACAGAGACATGACAGAGTTTTTGGAAAGAGTATCTGAGTGAATCAACCTTATCAACTTCTTCTTTATCAACTGTTACTTCAAAATCTTGTAATAAACTGTAGGATTCCTGAAATTAGTTTAAGACATTTGTAATCATCTCATAAATTAATAAAAACATGGTTTCAAGTAACTTCAGAGTCAGTGAAATCTTAAAGGGACATTCCCCTTTTTGGTAGGTTGAATTTTTTTTTGCTCATATTTGTGAAAACAAACTGAATTTATTTTAAAAGGGTTAGTTAAAAACGGAGATTACTAATTATTAATTGAGCAGTTTGGTCTAGTTTTGGTGTTTTGTTTTATAATGGCTTGATATTATTAGTTGAAACCTTAAGAATATGTAATAGAAATATTTCTCTACAATTAGGCGTTAGTTTTCAACTTCCAGAAAGTATAACAAACTTAAAAACCTTGAGTAATGTTTTCAAAGATTTTTGGAGTTTAAAATTTAACAGCTGTATTTTTTAAGTAGAAAGTTTTAGAAAATTTTCAATGAACGGTTTTGGAGTTATAATGGCCCTTGACTTGGTTAAAATGAGTTGAAAAGCAAGATATATATAATATACCTCAATAGGAGCTAAAGCCATGTCAATTTTAATATGATTTTCTCTGACTTCTGCTAAACCAGACATAGCTTGTCTGACATCTTCTAGATCTCTAATAGGTCTTGATAGACGTTTACTACAATCATCTACAAAGCTTAGAATTTCTTCCATATCTGTATGATACTTCCTGTTTAATTCTTTACCATATAATAACTTCCAGGCCTTGATTTCAACACGTAGTGCCAACTTCAATGGTTCTAAATTAAGAGAAAATTAAGATTAATAACATGGGTAGCCAAGTTTCTATCACACCCTAATAGAGTATGTAAGAAGAGGTAGTTCAGTAAGTTAAAGTGCTTTTGTCGCTTTGTCTCTTTTGCCCTGAAAATGGTTAAAATTTCCCAATTTTCGGGTCAATCTGATCACATAAAATGATTTCACATTTTTTTTTATAAGAATTATGTTGGCTACCGTATTTCTTAAAAAAAAATATCAAACCAGAATATATATATATTAGTACAAGTAGTAAAGAGTAAATTAGTCACAAACCAGTAAATAGTTCTATAGGTCCAACAATATCACTATTTTTAACATCATCTATAGAATCTTCTAATTTCTTAAATACAGCAACTTTAGATTTATATTCTGATATAATAGGATCTGTAGCCAGAAATTCCTACAAATAAATATTGACATAATATATTATATACCACAAAATAAAGAAATAATTTTTTCTTTATTGCAAACATCATCTGAATGATATACCTGATACTTGTTTTTAGAACATTGAAATTTGGCAGATTTAATTAATAGAATTCTAAAGATCAATATTAAGGAGAAAGATCAAGGAATAAAAATATTCAATCACTTATATCTTTTCAGACAAGTTCAAACTCTATGTTTCTGTATGTTTTCTTTTAGATAATACCTTCGGATTTTTCAACCCGGTTTCCCCGTCAGTGATGCAGGTAAGAGGGGCTGACATGGAAAAAGCGCCTAGTCGTTCGGATGGGACAATAAACCGAGGCCTCGTGTGCTACAGGCTGTGCACGTTAAAGATCCCTCGACAGTTGGAAATCGAAAAAGAGCAGGCTAATGCCGCTGTCCTGGCAAAATTTCCCTCATTGCACCCTGCATGGCGTCACCCGTCTTCATTAGCCCACAATGGGAAGAAAAGTAGGACGTAAAACTCCATTCATTTCATTTTTTTGTATGTTTTCTTTTACTAGCCAATTTCAATGTCGAGGCAGAAAAAAATTCAAGAATTGGCCTGAAGATGTGGAGTATTCCAAGATATTGTATTTTATTTCAAAATATTATTTATCGCAGTTAATTGCCCTTAAATTAATTTACCCCCCCCCCCCCCTCCCCCCCTCACGCACCATATCGGACAGTTTCTTTAAAAAAAAAAGATTATCTTTAAGAGTTTAATAGACTTTACCTGGATTGACTCTTCTCTATCTTGTTGCCAGAGAAAAGAAAATTCATTATAGCGTTGTAAAGCATCTGATACATCAGGTTTGAGAGTAGAGGCTGCAGTCGACAATAACATAGTATACTTAGCAATATCTTTATTATCTAATATATATTTATAATAATTAAACTTCTCAATACGTGATGCTGTCACTGAAATCATAGAAAATATGATGAATTGAATATTGTGGAATATCAAAACCTGCAAAATTCCTCTTATAGATACTGACATGTAGGGACATCATTAATTTGCAACATTCACACGTTTTCTAAATAGCTTGTGAAGTCTGTAGCTTATTTTGAGTGTTTAAATAGTAAGAAACAATTTGGGTTTGGACTTTGGAAAAATTGTGTAATTTGATAACAATGCATTTTAAGTAACAGTGTAGACGAGGGACCAGCCTATAGAAGCACCCTTTCAATTTTGTTAATCATTAAACATATATAATATATATATTTCTTTCATTCTTTTCCTATCATTTGATTCCTTATCCTTTAATTCCAAATGGTTGACATTTGAAAATTTGAAACAAAGAGTTTAAACATACCAGTTTCCCCATTTTGATAGGTATACCAAGGTGCTACTCCTTTACTAACATCAAGAACAAACTGAATGGATCTATTTAAAGCTTGTTGGATATCATCTAAGCTAGGTTTCATTACTACTTGAGGTATAACTAGAGTTATATCGGCAATAAAAAATGGCGGTGTTCTACTATCGTTATGGGAACCACTCTCTTCATAACCACTAACACCCGGACGACGATTACTAAAATACAATTTCCAATCTTATTACAATAAAGATAGCTTGCCAGGCAAGGTAATATATGCCCACTGATACCTTTGTTTGAAATTGAATATTTGTTAGAAAATAGCAAACATAGGCACCAGGAAATATTCAACTTATACCCAAATCCATCACAAACTGTGCCATCACAAGTTAAAAATCAAACACATTTGTAAGAATAACGGCAATAACTTGTATTTTATATTTCAAAGGGTTTAGTTTTGATTGTGATCAATTTCATCAAGTTGTCAAATTTGTTTTAGACTTCTGCTTTGTAGAATAAAAATTACTTGTTTTACAAGATTTTTGATCAGATTTATCCTTGGGTGATTTCAATAAGTCTGTCATGAATTGCGTATTTGCAGATTATATTCAAGC